GGGGGGGGAGGAGGAAGAGGGGGAGTAAATAAAAAGACTTTGTCAAGAAACATGAGGCCAAGTTTCAGGTAAGATGAAGTAAACTCTCACTTCCCAGATGCAGTGAAGCATCTGCCTTCCTGTGTAGACCTTAATCTGCTGTTTGCTAGAGCTGCATCTGCAGTTGCTGTTCCAGGATTCAAGAAAGTGGCCTTGCCACTGAAAAGATAAGCTCACCAGCTCCTGCTGGCATATTATCATAGATATATACTGCAGTAACTTAAGAAGATAATAACTGCTATGAGCTCCCACAATGGATCAGCTTGGCGTACAGCCAGGCTACACCACAGGTCCCAAAAGTTATTACCTAATAACTTTCACCTATCATTAGAAGTTGGAGATTGGTCACTGCTTATCCAAAACAAACAAACAAAAGCCCTACATCACTTGCAAGCGACAAGAAATACCAGAGCATGCCTAGCGGAATACTACTAACTACCTCATGGGTAAAAATTTCATTCTCGACTTCCACAAATGCTACTCTACGAAAAGGCTTTACTTTCCGTGCCAAGACTTCGAGAAGAGAATACAGGCTGCTACCTTGTTTGATCTGAGAACTGCTAAACGTGGGGATCCAGGCGGAGTCCGATGTAATAACTCAGAAGTAAAGGCAGTATTTGCAATCTGCATACATTCTTCAAGAGTCTTCAGGAAGGTGTCACAGGTTGATTTCAACAGAGCTCCCACATCAATCCCGCTCTGTGAGAAGAAACCAATTAGGAGACATTGAACTGGGAGCATCCATCAAAGCCCACTATTAATACAGTCCTGATTCCTGTTTTACTTGAATTAAAACGCAAAATGCCAGCTTCTCAGAGAGCTGGCATCACCTAGTACTGAGACTATGTCCCCTCACAGCACTACTGCTCTTGCTGGCCTCTCACTACAACAAGCTCAGTATGCTTGCATTTTAACAGCAATGTCTGTTCGTGTCACTTATCTCTGGCTTTAAAAGTATATTACATACAAGCCTCGGCGTATTCGACAGTGGCATTCCAGAAGACACTACTGACAAGAGAAATTAAGAGCAAACAAGTGAAATGAATACACAGTGATGTGAAGATGCAATAATTTCAAAAAGATCTCACGAGCAAAAAATCACTGCAACCAAACAAGCAGAAGGTATCACTTGACACAAAACTCTTCATCTCTGCAGAAGTGTACCTATTGATGCCGAAATGCTTTTAGCAATAAACCCTCCCAGTTAAATAGCTGCAAGACAAGGGAAAGTGAGTATTCCCCCATACTAGTGAACTATGAGCTGGATAAACACAGCATTAGGTGGTTTGTTGCTGACATCTGTAAGCTGCAAGTTGTAACAGAGCCTTTTAGTCATTTATATATGACATCGTGGATGCTACTGCATCTATACTACACTGATGCACTGTAAAGAGTTTCAGGTGTCTTTAGGGAGAGGGTTTGGACATGCAGATGGTTAACCTTCAAGTGCTCTGTCTGCCTGTTCTGCACTTCAGGACAGGGGTCTCTTCCTAGAGAGGTCTTGGACCTCCCACACCTTCTTTCCTACATGCTTCTCTGGGAAGCTACAGGCCTCTCTATTCACACACTTACTCCCAAATCAAGGGGCAGATCATTAACAGTAGGAGACCCTTTTTAAATGAGGCTTCTTTGCTCAGAAAAATATGTAGAACAAATTTGTTTTCTCTTAAGGTTTGAAACTGTAACTGTTAGTTAATTGCAGAGGCTACCAGAGCAGTTCTTTCTCTCAATTTTGCTTCTTTGAGGTCTGTGTTATCTCTTGCCCTTTTAAGAATTTTAATTGAGAACAGGATTTTTTTTTTTTCCCAGAAGTAAGGTTGCTGTTCAGAATCATTAAAATCCAATTAGGGGCAGACAAACTCGCACTTCTTGCAAGCTATCTTTTTATTAAAAACATTTTTTGCCTTTTTGATTCACTATATACACCTGACCATCTACATTAAAATAGGAGACATCGATAGGTTATTATCTAGGTCTCCAGGACCCTAAGGTCGTCTCACTACGTACTACCCAACATAAAGTTATTTGCTACCTTTCTTTATAACAATACAGTACTATTTCATTAAACAAGAACTACTCTCTGCAGGTATGTTACTTCCCACATGACCTCAGCTGAAAGACAGCACAATACAAAGTAGCTATGAACGAAGACTGCATTGGCTAATCAGAAGTTCAGAATACTCAAGACTTTGCAGAGCTGGTCTACATGAAAAATGGAGCTGTACCTCTGGATCTGATACATCAGAAATGCTGGCTTCCTTTGTTTTATGCACTTGCTGAACAAGGAGGTTACAGTACAGTCTAAGTTCAGACATTTTAGTTTTCAAGGCTTCCGTGTTTTCAGTGAACTCTGAAAATGAAACAAAAGAAGAGTTAGATTTATTCTACCCATCTTGCAATACATGATTTTGGAGACTGCTGAAATAGTATTATGCAGCCTAATTCAATCAATACTTCTTCATTTCAAACAACATTTTCTATCAGCTCAAAAAGATAGAGACTTCATCTAGGTTGACCATAAATTCCACTCGTGACAGGTGAAAACATATTTAATCTTTTTGCTATCGCAGACAGGAACAACATGTTCCAACTAGGCTTTTCCAGAACTTAAAACATAACGCAAAAACTTAGAACAAAGAGAAAAGAACTAAGTACGGTGCATTTGACCTCAACAAGCCTCTTCAATAGGACTAAAAACAAAATATATGATGTTTAAGGGTTTATCAAATCTAAAGTCCAAACAAATACACTGTTAATTAGAGGACTGAGGTTCTTAGTTGAAAATACAAGAGGGAAAAGACTTGTTCTTTCTGACAAAAAATTATTTAATATATATTATAGAATCACAGAAGAGTTGAAGTTGGAAGGGACCTCTGGAGATCGTCTCGTCCAACCTCCCTGCTCACAGCAGGGTCAGCTAGAGGAGGTTGCCCCAGGACCGCGTGTAGCTGAGTTTTGAATACTGCCAAGGATGGAGGCTCCACAACCTCCCTGTGCAACCTGTTCCAGTGTTTAACTTTATCACAGTAAAAATAGTTTTCCTCATGTTTGAACAGAATTTCTTGTATTTCAATTTGTGCCCATTGCCTCTTGTCCATTCACAGGATACCACTGAGAAGAATCCAACTCCATCTTCTTTATACCCTCCCATCAGATTTTTATACACATTGATAAGATCCCCCAGAACCTTCTCTTCTCCAGACTAAACAATCCCAAGTTCTCTCAGGCTCTCCCCATATATCAGATGCTCCAGTCCCTTAATCATCTTAATGGCCCTTTGCTGGACTTGTTCCAGCGTGTCCACGTCTGTCTTGTACTGGGGAGCTCAGAACTGGGCACAGTACTCCAGATACCTTTTGATTAATAGTCAATCTGAGATTTTTCAGAAGTAACTTTTAGACATTAGAGTCCCAGAACTAATAATGCCATGAAATAAACTGATTTATATTTTAACAAGACTAACATAGTTCAGTTCCGCAAACACATCAGTAGCTTTTCACCCTGTACTACCACACGTCAATTCATAGACATAGTTTTGTTCAGCATCTTTGTGATTTCATATAGGCATTGTGCATCAGGCCCCCATTTTATTCAGGGCTCTACACTAGCATCTCCTGCTGAGAGTCAGTTTGAACTGGCATTTGCACAGCCTAGCGAAGATGCATGCTATGGCTAGCAGAGGAGAAGCTATTCCTCACCTCAGGGAAAGATAAGAGGAAGAATCCCTCAAGCACTTGCTGAGGGATCACTGATTTATTAACAATCATCTTCTCGTTCACCATCTTTATGTAGCGGTTCTACCTACATCTTCTATGTAGGGCTGAGGTTGCACCTGGCTAAGACATAAGGTCTCACATTGTGACTCATGAATAACACCAAGTTTGTAAGCCAGAGGGCTTTTCTTCGTGAAAGTGGAGATGCTCAGAAAAAGCCAAGAGATAAGTAAATTAATATTCATAGCTTGACTATGATCAGATTTCAGTTTCTGAAGACTAGTATGCATATTTAAGATCAATTGCAAATCTTTAATTACCAAAGGATATTTGAAGGGCACAGACAGCCCAGTTAGAATACAGAAGTAAAAGGTCTGAGAAACTGGAAAGCTAAAGAGGAACTAGTATGAGGCAGCAGGTCAGGAGACAGGTGGAGGGGACTTACCTCCACGTACAAACAGAAACAGTCTCATCCCAGGAACCCACAGCCTGAAGTTAGTCATTCCTTGTACTCAAGAAAGCTATCAGCCCACAGTTTTCAAATGATTCATACATAGCATATTTTAAGGAAAAGCCAAAGTTTTCAAATCCCCGCATTATGAGTTAATGGCTGAGATTTCTAGCGAAAATCCTCATGTGGTTTGGCTTTCAGTGGCACTGAAGACCTACAGCACTTATTGGACACAGACTTCAGGCACAGATTTTGTCATCCTTGTGTGCACAGCCTAGGGCAACGATGGGAAAATAAGAAGTAAACAGGACGTGACCAGCAAAAGCAAGATCTTGCCTTTTTCCTTCTGCGTCCTGCTGTCTGTCAGACAGGCTTTGGCAGTTCCTAGTGCAACCAGCCACTTCTGCCTCTCAACTGCATTTCTTGCCTTCAGATAGAAGTATTGTTCCCCTGGGATGATCAGATCCATTCGCGTGTTATCTGCAGGATGAACTAGAGGCAACACAGATTTCAGGCCAGACTTCTCCTAGTAAGCATGGCACACGTTTCCCTTCCCTCCCCAAATGAATATGCCAACAGATATGTATGTGGCAGGTCAAATAACAACAGGAGAACAGGAACCAATAGCCCCAAACTTTCCTCATTGCCATTCTGCAACCCCTCAACTGAATTAGAGAACAGACAGGACACACATGCAAAACAGGTGTGGGACAAAAAGCTATGAAACACAATTCTGTGGCTAGTACATTATCATCTGTCAGTCTTTACAGAAAGGGCATTCTCTTTTGGCAAGCCTCTCTTTCGGTTTCCCTGCCCACAACTGACCTTCAAAGTCATGACAAGTCAGTCATCAGCAGTAAGCAGGTCTAGTATTGAGGTTTATTACTCACATTTCTAGCTTCAACTCTGTGCCTAGGAAGCCATTTAAAGCTGTGTGCCCTTTTACCATGGATGAAGAAAAATAATGACACACCTCCATGTAAAATATCCATTATATTAGAAACTTGCAGTTCTTGTAACATTTTCAAAATACTATAGAATAAAAACTTGCATATAGATCAAGTTACTGAGTTACTACAAATACCTAAGAAAGAAATCAAGATGCCAGATAGCTCTTGTGACCTGAAGTCTCATCTCAAACACAACATATACTTATCGGACAACATTTGTTCAAGGAGTGCTACTGTATCTTACTGACCTTGAATTTCACACACAGCCATTTGAATGCTTCCCTTACAACCCTTCCAGGCATCTTCCTGAGAATCATAATAGGACAAGATACCACCACAGAGAAGAAACCATCGAGGCTGCCAACCTGAAAAACAAAAGTTGTATTTCTCAGTTACTTCTCTCCCAGGAATCCCAAAATTTCTTTAGTTCAAGAATCACCACAAATAAGACCCTCACCAAAGATTCAAGAGCAATTCACTCAGAAAAAGTAATCCGTTTGAACAGGTAAGATTCTGTGGACAGGCCTGGGTGTTGTGTAAACACACCAGCAAGCAGAGGTTGTGGTATACGTTTTATGCAGGTAGCTGGCCTCAGAGGCTCTCGGCTAAACCTCGGTGGTATGTTTCCGAGATGCCATATGCCAAGCTCAGTAGTTTTACTAACATGTTATTACCAGCTCTTTTTCAAAACTAGCTTTTCAGTCCAATACCTCTCAATTCCTCCTATCACTCACCAATCACCTCTTCACTCTTTCCAAAAGTCACTCCAGCTTTCTCATCTTACATGTCTTCGTTCCCTACCAAAAGGCTGGTCAAACCAGCTTGAGAAACAAGAGCCAAGAGACTGAAAGGCTCGTCAAACCACCTTGAGAAACAAAGGCCAAGAGACTCCTTTCTAAATCAAGAGAAAGGGGAACAGAAGGGGATGTGTTGATTTCTGAATCACTGTCTTCACTACGTACTTCACTACCTAGGAATCACTGCGTACTTCTAAATAGCTCTTGAAACGCCCATGCCGCCCAGAGAGAGAGAAAGGGAGAGAAAAAGTCATTAATTAATAATTTGTACTCCTGGATCCATCCCCAGAGAACAATCAAAACATCAGGCTAGATAAAAAAAAAAACATTGCCCGGGACTCCATCACAGTAGTCTTGGGTAGCACTTCTGCCCACCCTGCTGCCCAACCTCAGAACTAAATTACATCTTTTGTTCTCTTCTTTTGGAAGCGCTTCTCCAACACCAAAACACACAAACGAACAAGCCATGACAGCTGGCATTTGCATCTAATAAAATAAAAGCTCATTAACATAAGAAGCAGTAAGACAGCAGTGTTCACTGGAGGAAATAGGCTTTCGTTACTGAGCTGCAACATGCTTCCCCAGTCAGGCCCAGCAGAGATGAGATACCCAAGTTCCAGTGCTGTGCTGGAAAAGTAAAACTTGGGAACAGACAACAGGGAAAAAAAAGAAAAAAGAAAAGAATTGGTGGCTTAAGCTACACCAAGCACAACTCAATTCAAGTTTATAAAACTCTAAAGCCATATGCAAATAGCAGCAGTGTGGCTCATTTTTGTTTACAAGCAATACTATGGCACCAGGGCCAACCTGCTCCAAGAGACTACCGAACCTTGGGGGTGGCGGGAAAACAAACAGAAATCTTTTTTCCACACACTTCTAAAGCTACTCCAATATTTTCTCAAAGAATATAAAAACCATTATAAATGTCAAAGTAATCTCAATACTTCTGCTTTATTTATCTGAGGGAAAAAAAGGAAAGAACGAGACCAAAATAAAAAAAGGAAATGAAAAGCTTGTTTTTTCTTTGTCTTTCTACCAAAATAAAGAAATCATCCTACAAGTCCTTATTGATATGGGGAATTTGCCTAAAAAGAAAGAAAGAAAGAAAGAAAAAGTGCTTGTTCTTCAAAGAGGAGCTGTAAAATGCTTCAGCCAGGCAATGGCACAGAACCAACCCTTTAAATAACGTGCAGCCCTGCAGTCAATACACACCTCTAATCCAGTCTGGAGATCCTGCTGCTGCACGCCAACGGGTTTTGGCTATGGCCCTATGGCTCACAATAGCAGCTGACCCTCCAAGAAATTACAGCCTGTCACTCAAAGGCTGTGCGACTGATTAGCCAGCACACAAAACCTCTGCCTCCAACACACTGGAGACTGGTTAAAAACATGCTGTGAGCCAATATATTTTGTTGAGGGCTTTTGGGTTTTTTTTTGTTGTTGTTGTTGTTTTGGGGTAGAGTATTTTTGAGGGAGAAGAGAGAGAGCAGCAATTGTCTGTCTTGCTTTGCAGAACTCTTCTGTATTAGATGAGTACTAAAAAGACAACGATATGCAATTATTAACTAGGACACCATATATTTTCAGAACATAATTTGTTACCCTAATAAAAATACATTTTTCCTCTTAAGGGAAACCCATGAAAACAACAGCAAGGTTCTCTCTGAAGATGTCCTAACCTCCTGGACCTCAATGACACTGACTCAGCAGCCACGGGAACGTTATCCTAAACGACTAGCTAAAAAGAACGTGTGACTGACAAATCATGGACACCGCAACAGGGATGCAATCTTCAATTACAGGAGCGTGACACTTGCAGACAAGCAAAGAGCAGACAAGAAAATCCAAAGCAACAAAGAGTCACTCCATGAACACAAATCTCAGGCTTACTCAGTCTTATTCTCTCCCCATTAACTCTCCGAGGAAAACCGCAAAGTGTGGGCCTAAGTAGTCAGACTTTATCTGATAGAAAGTTAAAGCTGAATCCTTCAGGGCCTTAATGGTGACAGCAAAGTCACATTTCTGAAGAAGAATTTACTAAGCTTATTTACACTGCTGGTGCACAGGGCAGGACAAAACATAGCTCATACTTCCACAGCTTTGCTCAGCCTCCCAGAGCCATTAACAGTAAAAATTGACCTTGCTGGCAGAAAAAGCTGATAAAATGCAAGGCACATGAAAAGCAAATAGTAGCTTAAGAGCCCAGTCACAGGAGACTGAATGAAGAGATTCCAGACAACTTGGCAGACACTGGTTGAAGTCCTAACAGATATTGCACCCTTGTGCAAAACTCAAAATTAGCACCTTTAGTACCTGGAAGATCTGATATTGTCCATCATAAAAACAGATATCTAAGGATTCAGTGTTTGTTAAGGATTTAGCATTTCTTTAGAAGTTTCCACTGCCTACTTCCACTGTTACACTTCAGGAAGCCTGGATGCAATTATCACTGAGCAAACTTGACGTTTCTTGATAACACAGTTGAAATTTGGACATAATTCAAACTTTAATGTTGCACAACTCATATTCCAGAAAGCACTAGTTCCAAAGTGCCAAGCCTGAAGGAAGAAAAACCACTTGAAGGCATGTAGATCATGTCAGACATCCACAAAGCCAACCCATTTGGGAGAATTACATACTCAAGAAGTCAAACTTACAACCTGGAAAACAAGCTGCAATTAAGAGATGCCAGTTTCAGTTGCATCTCACAGCAAGCACAAGCAATATCCATCCTTTCACGTAACCCTGGATCAAATGAAGCGGTGCTACATCTTCAGCATACCACCACCTACCACCACCTTTATCTCCCAACACCAAAGGGCAGATGAATTACAGCTTCTGCCCAGCACTGCGTCCAAGATCGGCAGCTGTGTGAAAGCTGCACAAAACTCAGTGCAAACAAGACCACGGCAGCGCGAGTATGTGACAAAAAGAGAGAGAAAAGGCAGCAGGCATCCTCCTCCAGTTATCAGTGCTGACTTAAGTCTATGAACACCATGAAGTTTGCATCTTTGTTAAAACCCAGCCTGCTCCTGGTTTTTCAGATAGCAGCTGCAGCCCAGAATACACTGCCCTCGCCTTATATAACTTACTGCTGGAACGTGGCACTCATACACAAAATGCCTTGCTGTTATGAAAAAAAGTCAAATTTTCCAGTTAGAGGATGCATCTCTAACGGCTAAAACACAGGACCGAGTCAAAAGATCCTATTTTCAGCTTAGGAGAAAGACTGCTGAACTGCCCTGGGTCATGCTGAAAAAATTTACTTCTGCACTGAGCTCCCTGTGTTTCCTTAGCTATATAACACAGACATTTCATACTGGTCCAAAAGGTACATTGTTGGGCTTAATGCATGTCTCTGTGGATATCTGTACGGAATTAAGGCTACAGAAATCTCCATGTTGCAAATGGACAAAACAGTAGTTTTGAAAAATCTCAATTTGCTTCCCAGTGCTAGACACCCACACACTAAATCTTAGAATTCAGCTCTTGGAAAACCAATTGTGTGTGTACCTTTTGTGAGACTCAGTTTGATTCCTTTTGTTGCACATTTAACTGTTGTCAGTCACCACAGTGTTCCTACTCAGGAACAAGCTGCGTTTAGCATAAGAATATCTTGCAAAGACCAGACTTGAAGCTTTCTCATACCGTGAGCAGAACTAAAACGGTAAAGGGTTATCTTGACATAAGCCATGTGCACCAAAACTGCTGTCTGCTCTTTACGTATAGTCTTCTACACAGAAAATACCACAGGGAAGGGGGATCTGAGGCACTGGTTGCATTTTGCAACCTTAATCAATTCTGCAGTGAATTTTGTAGTGACAGTATAAAAATCCACAGTCTTCACCCATGAAGGACAGTGCAAGTGCAGACAAGTGTGTCACAGTTCATATATCCCCTGCGAGCTATTATCCCCTCACCTAGAGCCCCTTAAATCAACAAAATTTAAAAAACTTAGCACTTCAGCAATTTTATCACTTCTTAAGCAGATTTATCACTTGTTTGAGAAATCTTAGAGGTTCAAGTGAAGCAGGCAACAGCTAGAACTGCTATAACACAGTGATCGTCTCCCAAATTATTTTCTCATGGAAGTCCTACAAAGCCCACCCACCCTCCTTTCCAAATCCAACTGTTCGTGCAGTGCTCGAAGCACTGAAAAATAATTCTGCCTTCACTGGGCAACTGGGCCTGCTTGTTTATTTGCAAATGAATTTGATTCCAGTGGCCAGGTATCAGTCCTCAGAAGGGATGGAGAGAACAGCATACAAGCAGTCAGACATCTTCAAAGTGGACACAATGAATGGATGAAGAGGGCAGAGAGGTGATTTTCTGAGGGCAATGGAGGCAAGAGTTCAATAACTCAGGTCACTGTTTGCAACAAAACGTTCAGCTCTTGACAGTTCCTAAGGATTTTCCACCTCTGTTTACAGTGCTGAGGCCAAGCAAACTAGCAGCTCCTATCTCTGATCGGTGGCGTGGTTACTAGGCTGGATTTGTTGCGTTGACCCAGTCTAGTTAAACACACACGATGGCACGTCTTATACCATGCAGAGGTAAAGACAAAATGCAGAGGCACCAGTACTGCTGCATAGCTGGTGGGAAACTCTACGCAGCTACGTGGGCTATATGGCATTGCTCCAGCACCCTCCCCTACACAAGGAGAGAAGAGACACCCTTTCCAATTCCTGCAGCCTCATCAAACTTGCTCTGCTACTGAAGTCCTAAAAAGGTTAGACAAAAGTAAGGTTGCTGCATAGAGGGGAGGAAAAAAAAAAAGAGAGAGAGGAGTGGAGGAGGGAAGAGAGAGAGGTGAGAATGAAGGTCAAACCACACAAACACAGTCACGCAAAATCCAAAGAGAGCGAACTGACTCGTCAGGGAAGGAACCTGGGTGAGAAGTGCAGCCAGGCCTGGGTGAGACTCTGCAGTCCACCTCAGCCGACATCCAGTCTCAGAGCAATTACTATCAGTAATACTGGCCAGATCACAGCTCTGGAAACAGAAAACTCAGCTGTCTAGTTGCAGCTCCACAAAAGCCAGTCTCTGCTTTTGCATCATCAGAACCTGGACTAGACCCAAGAGGGCCAAAAAGAAGAGAAAAGAATGATAAGCAAGAGCTTTTTGAGAATTAAATATCTACTAGAGTGCAAAGCTTTCAATGACTGCTTCCTTTTGTGGAAACATAGAGGACCTTGAAATCAACTGCAAGTATACTTGTTTCCCGTTCTAAAAGGTCAGATTTCTTAAATCCAACTCCTGGAACTGAGTCACTCTAAGCAGCATTGGCATGTGCATCCAGAACACATCTATACAAGCTAATGCTCTTTCTTTAGTCTCCTCCAAGTCTGTTAAGGAATTCCGAATCATTAGAGATAGGAGTAATTTAAAGCTTTATATGCAGCCTGAGATTTACTGCTTCGCGTGGTCTCTTGGCACATGACATAAACTGCAAGGAATTCAGAGCACAACAATAACATGGCAGTGAATGATTCACAAAGGAAGATGGGAAGAGCTGATGCTGGTATGGGGTATGATGCAGTATGACCAGTGACAGCATGAACGTGAGGACGTAATGCTTCAAGGAAGATGAGTTAACTCAGGGTTAGAGTTACTCAGCCCATTTTAAAAAGAGAGTATTTGAATACTAGGAAAGGCTTGGCTTTCTGGAGAAAAGTGATCAAAGCCATTTCACTGATCATATAGAGAATACTAGGCAGATCAGTGGATGCCGTTGGTATTTTTCCATTTCTAATGACTAAGCCGCCTTTAATTCCCAAGCCAAGACCTGACACATTCCTTCCTTCCGGAGCGCAGCTGGAAACCTGCCTGTGGCTAGTTAGTGCAGGTAAAGCGTCTTATGCTGAAGATCTGAACTTAATTGAATTTCAGTAGGAGAGGAAAAGCAAACAAAAAATCCTGAAAGTGCCTAGCTATTGGATACAGAATTGAAGATGTTCCTCAACTCTATTCTCTTTTTCCCTAAGGGTAAGTGATAATTTATTCATTCTATAAACCTTGTGAGAATCCAAACTCTCAGATTATTTTTACAAGGTAATCTCCAAAGACTAGAGATTTTTCTTCATTGGTAAGTAAATTTAACGAAACAGCTCAAGTTCAAGTAGGGATCTCATGTGGGAGACAGTTCCCAAACAGCAGAGAAGAGCAGTTCATTTCACCTCTCTCCCCTTCTCTATTCTGCAGTTATTATCCCCCAGGCTGAAAACCGTCATGTTACAACATTACAATTAGGAGTCAGCTTTGATGCTGCCCGTGCCAGAACGCTTTGTGCTCAGCGAGGACCACGGGCTGCCACGACCGACTGCGGAGGAACGGAGAAGATCTAGGGTGATGCGCCGGTCACCCGGACGGCGTACTACAGCAGGCAGCACTGAAAGGAGAGCTACAGCCCCTCCATCCCTGCTGTAAACCCATCCCTAGCCTCCACAGCCGTTCGCCAAGCAATGCTGATCACAGAATCACAGAATCGTTTAGGTTGGAAGGGACCTCTGGAGATCATCTAGTCCAACCTCAAGCAGGGTCACCTAGAGCATATTGCCCAGGATCACATCCAGACGGGATTTGAATATCTCCAGGGAAGGAGACTCCACTACCTCTCTGGGCAACCTGTTCCAATGCTCAATGATGTTAGACAGAGTTTTGGCAAAGGATGAAACCCAGGAACTTTTAAAGATCAAACTACACGCTTTGACTGTGGGCTCAGCTGAGGCTAACCTACAAGCCTTCACTACTTAATATGCCCAGCTCTCGATGGCCTGAGGATTCATTAATTGAAGTCTGCAGAGGCATCATATGTTTACCCAAGCGAAAAAAGTGCTATCACAATTACTACTTTAGAGTTAATCCTGCTTGCAGAGTGCTTGTTCCCTTATGGTTTTAACCAATTCAGTGGGGAAAGCATAGACAGGAGCAGTCTCAGAAGACACATTTATCGCAAGCACAAGATCCACAGCGGGTGCTCTCAGGCGAGGCCTCTGAGCATGCGTATCAGACCGAAAGCTGTCACACATGACTTCAACTTAAAAAGAAAAACTCGCTCGAGAACATGCTATCTGTCAGCCTTTTTATTCGGGCAAAGAAACCTCATCTAACTTCTCTAAATTCAGAGGTTTCAAAGGCAGCTTTGGGACACCTGCATGCAGAAACTACAGTGCGAGCAAAAAGATCAGTGGTAGGGCGAGGGGGGGGACACCCACCTGCACAGAACAGAGCCCTGCTCCATCTCAGTACAAATAAAAAACTGTCTTTTGCTATCTGAAGAAACCAAAGAACACTAACACAGTTTATCCTAATCTATACAAAGCAAGTAAGTATATTTATTACTAAATAAGGTAACTCGTTTGAGCAATAAGGCAAGCTAATCTATCTCGCAACTGTTTGCGATCAAGCTGAGCTTTCTGACCTTTGCCCACGGACAACCCAACCCGCTTCCCACACCTGAAGCTTTCTCGCTGCCAATGACTCGGTAAGCTGCACGGCAGAACCAGCTCCCTGCCCAAGGGCTGTGAGGAAATACTCTCATGTGGACTTCACCTCTCCTGATGCTGATGACAGCACATGTTATAAGAAACAAAACGCCCAGAAAAGATTCAAGTACCAACAGACTCCACTGACTTCATCTTAAGGCAGCAAGAGAAGCTGTTCTCCTTTTCGAGAGTTTTAAGCCTGCTCTGCTGGCGGCTGTCTTATCTACTCTCTGATTATGTGAAACAAAGGCGCGTTCCTTATAATAAAGGAGGAAATGCCCTAAGATACCTGTTGCGTACATTTATGTCCCCCTAGTATTACCAACATAGGAGTATACACTGATATACAGAGATGGCTCCTATTTTAGCTACTTTTTGCTTATATCATTTACACCAAATTAGTTAACCTTGCACAAGAGGAAGCGCACTGGTGGCAGAACACGGATAGAAATAACTGTTATGGACGATCTGCTGAACCCTTATCCTACCTCCGGCTTCTGCGTCACCCCACGGTCCCACCTGGTTCCATCCTGTAGTTCTGCTACTGACAGCCATAAACACCATATTCTAACACTGAATATTTTCTGCGTTATTGCACAAATGTATAACCTAATGGCTTTAGGGCAGGAAGTCCTTTACATGCTCTCCATTATATGCCAAAAGAAGGTGCACGTAAGCATAGTCAGCTTACAGAATAGCACATTTACTGTGCTCGGACACACAACGGACAGGCTTCCTACAGCCTAAGAACTTATCCTGCCAAGAAGGACAGAGAAGACACTGTTCGCCTATCTTCTCTGAAGAGCCTTGCTTGGTTTTCAGTTGTGACGGGTCTCGCGCATCCAAGGAAAAGAGATTCCTTCATTCTGCATTAATTTGGACAGAGGTTTGCAAAGCATCTTCCTTCTTCATGAAGGGTGATTTGGCTGAAAGCGCATTTCAAGGAGACTAATGAGAAAAGTTAAATTTTGATGGTACCTGAAGTTTTCTCGTTCTTAGTCTGAATTCTGCCACCGAAACGGAGGGCAAGCCCAGCAAATCCTAGCACATCCACGTGCAGGCATGAATGCCCCAGCGCCAAATGCTGCTCAGTAGTCTAAATAAGTACTAGGTTTGTCCCGTGTCCCCCTCACTCCCTACATCTCATAGCACAAAAACAAGTGTGAGCGCTCCAAGCATGCCCCACGCCGAAGCGATGCAAAGAAAAACAAACACCTAAAGCTTTCTATCAGCTGGACCGTGGACATTATCATTATGGGGAAGGACTAACAACGCTGCCTGAGTTTTTGCAATCCAAGTGGAAGAGCCAAGCATGGCTGCTCCCGCAAAGGCCACAAAGTGAAGCCTCTCCTGCAAGAAATCCATGTCTGTGTGCTGAGACCTGACAATCTGACATCCTACTCTCCGAACAGCTATTGCCTAAAGGGGAAAAACTGTAGCAACCTTCTACTGCACCACTAAGTCCAGTCTCATGCATCACTCCCCACCCCCTCAACCCCAAGTCACATGAATTCATGACCAGGCTGCCTTTCACCTTAGTTTTTGCTTTTTCTTTATCTAATTATAGCATCTAATACTTTCCTAACTAAAATGAAAGGTGCAACTGATCCAACTTCTTTAAAAAAAAAAAAAAGAAAGAAAAAAAAGAAAAAAATTCAGGCTGGAAGGCACCCCTCTTAACTGTACCTCAGAGCACGATTTCCACCAGGCAACCTCAAGGTCACACTTAATTCTTCTGACCATCAAGTTCCCAAATCGTTTCAACACATCACAGCGATGTTTACCCAAGGGAATACCCCATACCCACAAGCAACTACAAAGAATTACCCCAGGCTCCCACGCGTCCAGCAAACCTCACAGTAACACACGTAGCATGACAGACCTTTCCGGCCTCTGCAAAGTTTTGGGCGCCCCCACGTTTAATTCCCACAGAGGACTGGGTGACCGTGCACAGCTGCTCTTCACCTGCTACGAAAGTCAAGCACCTCAGGGCACAGGAGCACTCGAAAAAATTTCGACTCGGGGCCTGGAGCTAGTAGGACTGCCCCTTTATTTTTTGGGGCTTTCATGCAAATCCCCCACGTGTGACTTAATGTTGATACCTCTTGTTCCCAGAGGTCTGGGATTTTCCTAAAATTTACACTTGCAGAAGCAATTCAATAAAAGGCAGCAAAACCCTTCAGTTTCATAGGGGTGCACAAAAAGAGAAGGTTGCTGGTGCACATGACCTATGTGCAGCTAAAAAAAAAAAAAACCCACAAACAAAAAAACCCCAACCAGCAAACCCAGAGAATGTACAAGAAACCCCAAATAAAAGCCACAGCCCACAAAGGGACTAAACGCCTTCTCGAGGGCTGGATCGTGGTTCCCTGGTAATTTTGTTATACAGCTGAAGAAAAATAAGATAATTTAAAAAAAAAAAAAACAAGAAGCACCCGAGCCAGTCCCCATGTCACAGCGAGGCTTGATTATGGCAACGTGGGGCCAGCGCTGGTCTGGATTCAATAAGTAAATATATAGATAGATAGATAGATAGATTTACAAATAGCATAAATATTATATTTAGAAATATAAACTCATAAGCAGATTTTTTTTTAACTTTGTAAAATATTACTCTACTTATTCCCCTACAAGAAACCGCCTCCTTCCCCCCCCCCCCGCCCCC